AACTGGGTGCAGTTTAATCATTATGGATTACTTTTTGTGTATAATGAAAGATTCAAGCACGCTCCCTGCAGAGCTTCAGAGGCTTCTCAACACCATTCGAGAACTTGATGAGCGTTCCCAAGGTTTTTCTTTTTACCAGTGTTATTATTCTTTTAGAACTGCAGCTGTTTCTATAGTTTATGATTATATGTGCAAAATTAGATGAATGCCCATCATTGTGTCTAACTGTTAAACCTACAGCAATGATAAACCAGTCAAGGCAGCAAACAAAGTACTGTCTGGGGTTGGCATCTCAAGGGGGAAAGTTCTCTAAGAAAGGTGAAGAAGAAGAGGTGTTTGAAAAGCTTCGGAAGGAGATTGAGGGTAATCAGGACAATGCCCTCAGCCTCTGCACTGAGAAAGTCCTGCTGGCGCGACAAGCTCATGATCTTGTAAGACCCTATGTCGAGTGTTCTTTTTTATGCTTTATATCCATTATTCCTGATATATTAAAATCTGAATGTATGGAACAGTTGGATGTTGGACAACTTTTTTATTATTATGTACACACAATGTGACTCTGTTCTTTCAAGCACTCCCTCTGTTTAGAAGTATATGTCTTTGAGTTTATGTATTCGTTTGCATATTAAATATCGCTTTAGACATATTTCAATTAGTATTCATTTTATACCTCCTAAAAAATCTCAGATCCAATTTTTCAAAATCTCTGTCTCTTCTCTCTATAATTATCCTCTTAATATATAATTATCCTCTTAACATATATATATATATATATATATATATATATGTTTATAACGTTGAGAGCATAGAAAATTAAAGTGATAAATCTCTTGTAAAGAGATGAGGAGAGAGATAGATATTATAGGAAAAGATATCTAAACTTAAAGATATAATAATCAAGACATTAAATTCTTAATTTCATGATTTAAGCATACAATGACATTTCTAAAACAACTGAGGGAGTAATATTTGAAATATTTTAGTTATTGTTTTTGTTTCCATAATATTGAGTTTATGCCTAAGCTTGTGATTCTCGGGCTAAGATATTTTTTATCATTCTGTTAATTGTTTCCTTTTCTCATATATGTGGGATGAGCTGACTCCTCAGAAATGTATAATATCTTCTTGAACATGTTAGCACCACCAACTCTTTTGTTAAACTTGGCTAACTGGATTAGGATGGCATGCACTATATTGACCTAACCCTTCTACCGTGTTAAAAAATTTCTGCCATGGTGATATGGCATGGCTGATTTCTGCATAACCACCATTAGAAGTTTGTGAAGGATGGAATTTATGGCAACACCCCCCCCCCCCCCCCCGGGCCACTATGGCTACATTTTAGCCAGCCAATTTCCGCCATTCGTTATTAACAACACTGCCTTATATTCTTAAAGCTTATGATCTTGCTTCCTTCCATTTTTGTTTTCGTCAGATTGACAGTCACATAAAACGTCTTGATGAGGATCTGAATAACTTTGCTGAAGATCTCAAACAAGGTGATTCTAATAATTGTTGCAAATTCTTGTACCAGACACTCTTTGATGTTAAAAGTGTAGATCGATGTATGACAAGTCTGCACTCTTCTGGAAGGTTATCTTTTTATTTTAATGAGATAATTTTAGTTGAGTAGTAACCTTTGGTTCTTTATGTTTTATACATATCCAGTTAACCTTTGTTAAATGATGAAGATTATGTCATTGTTATTTTTTTCTTGAACCAGTGTTTTTAATGGATCCGTGTAAATAGATAATAACACAGAACCAGAAAAGCTATATGTATATGTAATTAGTTGTTTCATTTTTGAAATTTTTATTTCCTCTTATAAAAGGAATACTGAATCTACTGATTTTAGTTGTAAGGATTCTGAAGTTATTAGGTCCAACTGAAAACTGTTGGCTGTATGTAGTTAAATGGCCTATTTGGCTTTTGTGCCGTTATCACTAGTATGGATTGTTGTTATTTTTTTTGTTTGAAATGTTCAAATCACTTATCTTTACAGAGGGTAAAATAGTGCCAGAGGAGCCAGCTGTTCTTCCTCCATTACCTTTAGTTCCTAAGATTGAAAAACGCAGAACAGTATACGGAACACCTCAATCAAAGAGGCCAGATAACAAGGAGAGAGATTGGGATAGGGAACGTGACCGAGATTTTGAGCTTATGCCCCCTCCTGGAAGCCTAAAGAAAGAATTTGCCTCGCCTGTCGAGCTTGATCAGCCTATTGATCCAAATGAACCTACTTACTGTGTTTGTCATCAGGTCATGCTTCTCTCAATCTTGTTCCCATTACTGATGAATCCTTTTCCATAACGCTATTTGATCACTTTCATGCTAAAATTCTTTTGGTTCCCAGGTATCTTTTGGTGATATGATTGCTTGCGACAATGATAACGTAATTCCTTTTTCCCTTCTTTTTATGTCCCTTCTAGTTTTATAAGATGGTCAATTTTTTTTCATCCTGCACTACTTTCGATTTAAAAATTATTTATAGAACTCTTGAAAGCTTGAAACACGTCAAAATTGCCTTACCTTTGTATTTTTCTTCGACAGTGCCTAGGAGGTGAATGGTTTCATTATTCTTGTGTTGGCCTCACTCCTGAAACAAGATTTAAAGGAAAGTGGTATTGTCCGACCTGCAGACAATTGCCACGCTAATGCAAAAGGTCTCTCTCTCTCTCTCTCTCTCTCTCTCTCTCTCTCTCTCTCTCTCTCTCTCTCTCTCTCCCTCTCTCTCTCTCTCTCTGGAAAATGTGTAAAAGATTGTGTTTTGCATTGCAAAATGCAATGCATGACTCGTATGTATCTCTGTAAGAGAATATCATGTATATGATGGTAGGTATTCGACACGACATATGTTATGTTTTGCTTAAATTTGAATTTTGTTTAGCAACGGGCTGTGTATTTTTCAATGTTATCAAAACCGGACCGGTCATCGAACCGGTGAAGCTACCGGTTCAATGGTTCACTGGTCGGACCAGTGGTCGAACCGGTCGAACCGGTTTAACTAATATAATTTTTATATATTTTATATACATAATATATAATTATTTATATGTTCATATATAATTAATGTTATAGTGTAAAGACATTTCTCTAAATAAGAATAATGATGATAATGATGATAATTTTTTATATTTTAAATTTTCATTTATATTTAAATTACAAAATAAAGAGAATAGATACAATTTGTATTATAGATTTTTAATTTTTAAAATAAAAATTTAAGAATTTTATTATTTATTAAACAATAAAAATAAAATTTTGTGCATACAATAAATACGCCCAAATCTGGTTTGTAAAAGTATATAATGATTATTTAGTAAACTTGAGTTTTAAAACTTGTTTTAATGTTTTTTTTATATATATAAATAATTATATGTATTTTTATTCCTCATAATACCCTAAACATAGGTGATACAAAGTAAAAAATAGCACATCAACTCCTAACCAAAAGTTAGGCCCACGAACATAAAACAAAAAGAAAAAAAAAATAATATAAAAGCAACAAATGCAATAATCTCAAATTCACTCTCATCACTCAAATAATAATAATAATAATAATAATAATAATAATAATGAATTCATTCAGCAGTCCGCACATGTCAGGCCCAAACAAAACATTTATAAGTGATCACATTACCTTTTCATTAAAGCCCAAATCGGCCCAATATTCCACAAGACATTTAGTTTTGTATTATCCCACATCGGACAAACATTAGAAAGGAATAAGCTATTTAATTCATAGCATCAGCTCTCATGGTCACAGTTGGATAGTAGCTGAAGAGCCAAACCGTAGGTTCGCTCAAACCGTTGACGGTTTTCCGGTTTTACCGGTTTTAAACGGTTCGAACGGTTTGTTGCCGGTTTTCAGCTTCGACGGTCCCATACCTCAACCCGGACCGGTGTGCTGTCCGGTCCCCGGTTGAACCGGTTGGACCGGCCGGTCCGGTCCGGTTTTGATAACATTGGTATTTTTTGGATGGTCCCTTGTTCAATTGGCGACCTTTTTGAAAGCTTGGCTATTTGGATGGACTTGGAGTCTTGGCTCGACTGTGCTTACGTTAATGGTTATCTTCAAAATGCAAATTGATGAGTTTCTTGTAAACTAGCAACTGGGTGCCAAAAACTTTCTAGTTTTACGCTTTTATTTTCAAACTAATAAACCCATGTATTGTTGGCTATCTTCACTTATTGCTGCATGCCATTGCGTTGAATTTGGGTTCATTACGTGGCCATTTTCTTTCTTAAGCCTAGTTATGACAACATACTTTTAATAATGTCAGATGCAAAATGTACCGGGAAAATAGTTTTTTCTTGTACATAATATAAACACTATTCTCTCCAATTTTATATAAAAATTAGAATATTAAAGAATTTGGATTATGTGAATTTTACTTATTAAAGTCATTAAAATTAATCACTCATCATAGATATTTGTGTTGTAGCAAATTTTGTTTTTACCGAGTACGGGATATCTCTCGACCTCTGGGTTGATTTCACAAAGAAGGCGATTCAGAATGTATGTTGTTCACAAACAAAAGAAAAATAAGACCTAAACACTCTAGTTCAGGAAGGAGGTTTGAACTATCAGTTAAGAAATATCAAAAAATGCAAAATTAGAAATCAAATAAAAAAAACATGAATCAAACAATTATAAATAAGCTAGGGAGCCCTACGGATTAAGGGTGCCTGCGGTGCACACTTACACAGTGGACTCTACTATGAATTTGTAACCATTGAATTTCATCATTAGTTACTACAAAACAAAAGCAAAAACTTACTCATCCAACACACATTAAAATAAAAGGCAATAGAAACATTCTAAATAAAAAAAGTTACTGCTCATTCAAAAAGCATTAAAATAAAAGGGAAAAGAAACAATCCAAATAGCTACTCATCCAAGATTAATGCTCTTATTGTAGTATGTATGTAATGCCCCATTGAATTATGGAATATTTGGGATTTATTTATCATTATTGCTATTATTATTATTACTAAATGTCTAAATGTTATTATTATTTAATAAATTGTGGGTGTGTGTGTGTGTGTGTGTGTGTGTGTGTGTGTGTGTCTTGATTGATAAGACAAAAGCCCTAAGTCCTTATATATTTTTCTCGCTCGTTCATAAGAGGAGAACTCAACCCGTAGCATTTTCACATCTCGTTTCCTTTTCTCTCATCGAAGAAGAAATTCCCGATCAGTAGAGAAAAATCTCCTCGTCCCGTTTATCAGAAATCCCGCTGCTCTCTCACCTTTCCTCCTCCCCACATATTATTCCGGTCACCATCATCATCCTCGCCTTTTCCAGCACGTCAGAATTCTGAACGCAGCAACCTCGATCGCGAGCCTCTTCCGCCAGCGAGTTCATCCTCACGCGCAGCAACCTCCGTCGAGCATCGTCACAGCGGCATCATCCCTCGCGAGATCCTCTACCGCGACCAGTCCATCTCCGACGACCTCCCCGCGTCGCGAAGCCCGGCTCCGCCGCGACGTGAACATCAGCGCCGCGACTCAACCCTGCACCGATCCCTAGCAGCCGCGAGCCACCAGTCGCAGCACCTCCCGACCGCCACTGCACCACCCACTGTCGCGCGTTCAGGCCACCGCGATCAGCCGTCCCTCAGCCGCTGCTCCTCCACGCGACGCTACGTGTTCCCGTTCGATCCGTTTTTGGAACGTAATCCCGAGAACAGTACTGAGGCTCATCCCTCTCGTTACTTACGTGTTTAGATTGACGTGTTGATCATGCTTTGCGAATAAATACATATGCCTATGATTTTATGTGTTCAATATGTTGATTGTATGTAGTCGATCTCTTCGATTTTGATAAATCGAGAGAGACCTCGTAATTCATGTTTAGTGTTGTGTGAAATTGGAACATGAAGGATCCTGAGCCTTATGGTGAACTCTTCGGGCATTCTCGGTTTGGGTCGAGTCATTTATAAATTGTCGAAATTGTAAAATTGCTGTTTTCGTATTAAATTCGTTAAAAATTGTATACAGCTCGGATTGCCATTAAATTTTAAGTGTTATGTCCTCTGATGAATATAATGCTCGTGTAAAAAATCCATAATTTTATTCGGCATGTAACTAATTTAATTAATTAAATTAATTTCTGGGCAGAAACGTGTTTATTTCATAATAAATTGATATGTGCTCCAAATTGGCTGAAATTCGATTATGTTGTGTCTCTGGCATGTTTACTTGTTGTGTAAAATTTTCAGAATTTTTTGACTTAGTTTGCTAAGGGAAATAATTTATTTTGTGATTCTGCCAAAAATTGTTTTAATTATGATAAATTGATCTGATGCTTTAAAATTCTGATTTTTGGTTGACGTGCTTATTTTGTAATGTGTTTCATGCTGTAAAAATATTGAAATTATTGGAGGTCATTTTTGGTTCGGTTTTACTGAAACAATGAAATCTACTAAATGTTGTTACAATTTTATTAATTCTCATGTTAAGTGTTTAAAGCTGAGATTTTAACATGCTGAGGTTCCTTGGATAAAAATTTCATAGGCTAATTCGTTCAATAGGTCTAGTTGTTAATTTATGTTCGTTTTTGCTGTAAACTTGTCTGAATTTTATAAAATCATGTGTTTTGAGTTAAGGGCTGAAATTTGGTGGTTTTGCCAAGTCCAGTGAGGTGGATTTTTTGTTAAAATTGCAGAGTCTAACTCATTCGGTAGCCTGACCAACTTGATTATGTGAATTACCTGCTTTATTTCGAAAATATAGCTTTTGAGTTAAAAACTGTAAACCGACTCGCATGCTAATCTTTGTCTGTTTGACTTGGTAAATCTTTTATAGAGATTATGTGAACTCTCATGCGTGTTTGGTTGAGTCTTAGAGCCGAGTCTAAGTGTTCCAATGTCCACAGGATTTCACGAACAACTTAGTCGAATCAAGTTCGACTAAGTATAATTGTGATTTTTTTTTAAGTCAAGATAAGGTGTTGATATTAGTATCTTGACTTAATGTAGGTATTTTGAGGTGTGACCTCACCCTGCTTTCGAGAATCGTGATTGTGAATTGTCGCTTCGACCAGGTGGGTTTTATTAAAATTGTCTATGCAATAAATTGTGCCTTACTTGTGTATGATCAATGTGTGCTTACGAATCATGTAGCCTTCGATGTGAGCTGTACCGGCCGTTGAACGGTTGTCCCCATATTTATGAAAATAAACCCGAGGGGTTACTCCTATTGACTGGGCATCGATAGAAGCCCGAGGGGCATTCGGTTTATAAGACCGGAGGGCATAGATGTAGAGCCCATAGGGCATTTGAAGCATGACCCGAGTGAGGGCCTTCGATACATCTACCGGCAGTAGTCTATTAGTATAGATGTGCACATGAGTCTGAACACTGTGAATTTATGTTGAAAACTTGGGATACTTAATTGATTCTTATACATGCTGTGATCATACTATTTCTTTTACTGTTTATGTTATGAAAATGTTTATTGCATAGTGGTGAGCACTACGATTTCCAACTGTGCTCATCCCCATCTGAAATTAACGTTGCAGGTTAAGCAAAGCGGGTACGACGGCGGAGTAGAGCGAGTGGTATTCGGTCTATGAGAAAGGTTATTAATTGATTTTGCTTCCGCTATACTTATGATTATTTATGATTTATGAATTTTCGAACTCTGAGAATATATGAAGTATTGAGATACTCTTGGGGAGA